CGGGCCAGGGAAGCGATGCGCAGCTGAGGCCAGGGTACCTGACTCCAGTCCTGAAAGCAAAGATTTGGGGAGGGCGGAGAGGCAGAGTGTGCCAGAGACGACTGGCTGGCCACCAAACCCCAAGCACGTTATATAACTGGGCTCTCTTCCCTTTGCCCATCTGACAAAACACATAAATCCAGCAGGCAGGAGCCCCAGCACCGGGGAGCTGAAACTGTGAGCTGGCTGGGGAACACAGCGCTTCCAGTCAGCAGCGGAGTAGAGCAGCATTTCTGATCTTGTATGGTAGAAATAGGGCTGGAAGGAACGTCAGTCCTTGGCACTGACCCCTGGCTCAAGGCAGGTCCGGCTCTACTTGTGTTACTCCTGATGGGAGCCCAGCCTGTCCTCGGAGATTCTGCAGCTCCCCCCCCCGCAGGTTATTCCAGTGCTTCTCCAGTCTGCAGAGGCCTCTCCAACAGTCTCCATCTGCATGTGAAGGCACCTACCTGCTAGCAAGCTGCCACACCAGGGCTGGTACCAGAGAAGAAGCACAGAGTTTGTAGGTGCTGCCTTCCAGCACATGAATACATCATCCTACCCACGCCTGTTCAGTGGCACGGTGAGGGGCAGAGCTGACAATGCTCAGGACATCACCACAGAAACCCTAATGATGTCAACAAGTGATACCCGTCCTCCCTGTCTGGTATGTGTGTAGGAGAGAGAGACAGGGAAGCAGAACAAGAATTGAAGAGCATCTAAGCTGCCCCTGGAAGAGCAGGAGGCTGGAGGTGGTGATGGGGAGCGTACCGTGCACTGTGCCAAGGCAGCTGAGATCTGCTGGATATCATCAACTGTGTTCACCTTCAGCGAGTTCAGGGTTTCTGTGATATTGTTGCGAGTCCAGGTCCGGAGCTCAAATTCATTCCCGGTCTCCTGTTCTAGAAGCATGGACCGCTCGTACTGTGGGGGGAGAAAAGCAGGCAGAGTGAGGAAATGTTATCAGGTCGTTTCAGAGTATGACGAGCTGTGCTGAAGTCACCTCTTCCCTGTGCTCTGCATGTCCCTGCCTGTGCTACTCCCCAGAGGCTGATCTAATGAGCTGGTTTTCCAGTAAAACTTCCTCAATTTCACTTGTGCTCCCCAAGCAATTATCTTAACAGCCTTGCACTTGACAACCAAGTAGCACACCAGCGTGCAGTCCTTACCCAGCTAAGCACAGTGCCTGCGCTCAGGGGGATGTCCCTGCCTGGCGTCTAGGCACACAGCGGGCTCTTACTGGGCAGCAAAGCATGAGTAGAGACCAAAATTCCTGCCCTATCAAGATGCACATGGAGGGACTGGGCCCTACTTTAGGTAGGCGTGAAAATGTATGCTGCCAGGAGGACGATGCTCCTGCACTGTGAATTAAGAAGCCTTGTACATGGCCAGAAGACTTTTCTAGCAGCACTAGCCCAGCTGTCAGAACAAGGAGGTCTCCCCAGCACCCAGAGCAGCATCTGAGCAGCTACAGGGAGCTTCCAGCCCTGCTGAGCTGGAGTGGGGTGGCTGGCTCAGGGGAGGCATGAAGGAGGGAGGGGAATTGGGGCTAAGATTTCTGTTCCTAAATTCAGTGTTTAAATTTGAGGTTGGCAGTAAAGAGGAAAAGCTATCTGAATATGAGGGTTAAAAAACAGGCTGCATGGGAGACACCCAGGCCACTGCCTTCTCTGGGACCTCTGTTTTATTTTGCAGCCCCTCTTCTTTCCCTGGTCATTGTGTGTCTGGAGCTTGTTACTCTTTTTGATGCATGAATATAGCTCCAGCCCAGCTCCCAGCGTGCACATACACTGATTTACATGAAAAACTGTAGCATTAGTCATTTCCCCACATCACTGTACAAAACCTGGCCAAAGAACATTGCTGGCGATTGCGAGGCCTTCTGGAGGCCCCTCTTGGGCAGAGAGTGCTGCTTTACCTCATTTAAGATGGTGATGAGGGCCAGAGAGTACTCAATGACCTGTTGAGGGTCCCCTTGTTTCACTAAGCCCTGGAGCACCGTGTCAGTTTGATTGTAGAGCCAGTGGGAGAGGCTGGGGAACCCCTCCGGTAAGCCAATTTCCATGGAGCAGCCAAGGGGAAGAGGCATTTGGGTTAAGCACAGACTATCAAACGGGGCTGGGGGAAGGGGGCAGGATCTGCCCTTTAGCTGGGAAGGAAGATGAGGGGCGAAGCAGTTGGTTAAACAAGAAAGCATCGCTGACGCTTGCCCTGGAGCCCAGTTTGCACCAGCTGGATGTAGGAGCATCATGGACCTGAAGCCTGGTTCCTCACTGGTCCAACTCTGTGAAGCTGCAGGCGGTGGATGCACATGGGTGCACTGAACCCAGAGGAGAAAATCCAGGTTTAGTTTGATGGAGCATAAAGAGCACTTAAAAAACAGGCCGGTGCGGTGGGAGGAGCTGCACTGCTTTTGGCATCATTCCCTGGGGTCTGAGGAACAGCTGGGACACAGATCCTCCTCTGCAGGCACTGCAGGACCGTGCGCTCCAGCCTGTGAGGCCGGGACCACATGTACAGTGCGGGGAGCTGCAGTCAGCCTCAAGAAGGAGCATGCATACAGCTCGTGCAGGCAGCAGAGAACAGCTCAGGATGCTGCCCAAAGACCTGTGAACACTTGTGGCCCACACGGAGCACACTGGAAACCAAGGGGCATTTGCAGAAGGGATAACTGGGCTTTCATGGTGCTGGCCCTGCTGAGCCTCGAGGTGCAATCCCTTCCACCCTATTCAAATGCACGTGCTCTCCATCTTGGCTACACAGGATCTCCCTGGCTCTCAGCAGTGGGGCACCAGGCCACCCGCAGCACCAGAGCTTGCTGCTGCCAGCTCTCCTTTGAAGGCTCCTGATGCAGAGAAGGTGGTGGGGCACAGAGCATAGGGATTTTCTCTGAGAAAGTGACATTGTGCCTTCAAAGCAAGGTGTCATCAGGGAATTAAGGAGGTGGTCAGGAAAGCAGTAACTTATGGGAAAGTTTCCCCCTCGAGCAATGATCCACAAAGACCGGAATTCTCTGTATTGCACTTCTGCCGAGCCTTCCTGCCAACAGCCTCTTCCAGGAGGCAAATGCTTCACCCAGGATCTGTCAAGCCCTCCAGGACAGGGACCCAGTGGTCAAGCCATAAGACTATGATTCAGGAGCCTGGGATGGACACTGGCGCTGCCATGTAAGCCCAGCCTGCAGGCGGTGGGTCTTACCGGTTAATGGCCACGACGGTCGCTCCCAGCTGGTCCTGAACAAGGACGGACACGGACACCATGAAGCCACTCTCGTGGAAGCCCGGGGGCAGGAAGGCACTGTGCTCGGCACGGCTGCCCTTGTACACGCAGAACTCATGGTAGTGCCCGGCCCGGCGGCGGGATGCCAGGAGGATGTACACCAGCGGGCCCTCCGCGTCCTCTGTGTCTCGCCAGCCTGCAAAACAAACCCAAACAGGGGGTCTGACAGGGGCAAGGGCACAGGGGGGCTGCAGCCACCATCCCAAAGCCCAGCCTGTCCGTCCAAGCTGGCATTGCCTGGCAGTCCTCCTTCCCTCCCCTGGAGCATCCCACCCTGCTCAGCCCTTCAGCGTGGCATCTCCTCTTACTGCTGTCCCCAGCAAGGGTTCAGCAACCTGCTCTGACAGAGGGACAGGCCGTCCCCGCCATTAGGGGACAGCTTAAGGGCCCCGCTGGGCTGGAGAGATGTCTCCAGGCCTGCAATATAAAGCTCTGACCTTCTCTGAATTTTTCTGATGTTTAGGGGTTTCTGCCTAGGTGTTTGAGTCCTCTAACATTCCTGAAGAGTTCACGAGCAAAGTAAGAATGGTAATAACTCTGCTGGGGCTGGGAACAGCACGGACCCAAGGCCACAGCTTCTGTACAAGCCCTGCAAAGCCTGACATTAGACCGAGGCTCAGCACAGCCCTCAGGCAGTTCAACATCTCAGGAATGACTCAGTCTAGGATAAAACCTGCACAAAGGTTTCCTTGGAGCTCCCCAGGAATTATGGGGAGTCCTGTGGGAGCCAGGAAGTTAGGGAATTCGCTGCGCGTTTGCCAGTGAGCACCAGCGAAGGTGCTGGCTCTGCCAAGGCTCGCTGCCCTGGACATCGACCAGTGGGCCTGTATCCTTTCAATTCAGCCTGAAAACAATCACTAGGAGCTAAAAATGCCACCACTCCAGAGGTACCGATTTCATAATTATTCTGTGTAGCTCAAAAGTTACCAGAGTTAGAACCGTACCATGCCAAATACACTTCTGCTTCTTCCCCAGCTTAAGCTGGGCTTTGGTGACCAGCCCCCACCGAAGCAGCAGAATTCATCATCTCCTCTGCAGCGTGGCTTCCCAGCATTTGTGCACAGACAGCGTTAATCTCTCACACTAATCATTTGGGGAAATATGGTTTTCAGAGGCACTTATTCCATGGCCCAAGGCTACAGGACGTCAGCCAGGCCACTTTTCCAAAGCTAGGCTCATTGTTGCTGTCTCTGCAGCTGGTTGAGAAGGTAACTGCTGATGGGAACATCCAGCCTGCATGGCAGAGAAGGCCCCAGTGCTTTGTCTTTTGACTCTTCCCACATATGTGTGACTCAGTTTTGGGCACCTATCTTCTTTTCCCTGCACTGAAATACCAGTTTCTTCCAGTACTGGCCTGGCCTGGCCATCACCATTCAACTACATGAGTTAGGATTAAAAGAAGTGCCTGCCTGCTACCATGAGTTTGAGAGCTCTGTAATTTGGGCACACAAAGCTGCCCATGGTCCAGGCTTTGGGGATCAGAAATGGAAAGATCCACTGGTGAACTCAGCCCTGGCCAACAGTGTCCCGGGGCAGGAGCTCGGGGTAAAGAAAATATCTGTGGGAAGAAGGGCAGCTGGTAAGACACCGGTCATGAGAAACCTTTGCCCGTGAGGAGCAGAGAGGTGCAGGCAGGTGCCCAGCACTGCTGTCCATGCGCTCTCACCTGCACACTCAAAGTGCACCTTTGCCATCAGCGCCCTGAGGGGTCCCCTGGGAGAGAGCCGGCAGGATCCTCCGACAGGCGGCTGGTTGGGGAGCAGGTCGATGGAGGCGAATCCTTCCTCCCCTGTCGTGAGGTCTGTGATGTGAAGGGTGAAAGTGTAGCCCTCGCCATCCTTCAGTGCCCCTTGCCTCAAGACCAGGTTCATTCCTGTGTCACCAGTGGAGGTAGTTTTTTTGTCCAGGACGAGAGACTTGTTTTTAAAGCTGTGCGCTGCCCATCTCTGTAGAGATGAAGAGAGGAAAGACAGGAGAGGTTTTGTTTAAATGTGAAGTTATGTCCTTAAAATGTTTTCAGATCGAGTCTCTTATAAAAAGTAACAGATTTCTAGTGGGAGCGTCTGCCAAATTTGCAGTTGATAATTCAGCTTTAGCCTTGTGTGCTACAGCAACAAGAACTGGAACCTTTCCAAAATGTCTGGTGGGAATATTTCCACTGTGAGATCTACTTTAAGTCTCTGGGATTACATCACCCTCCGACAGAATATTTCATAATACAGAATACAAAACACAGGAAATAAATTAAGTACTGGTGGAATCTCCACGGGATAACGTGTTTTATATACTTCAAGCTGAACGTGTCCTGTATGGTTACTGTCAATAGCACAAACGTACAATTGCGCTAACAAGAGGAACAGTGAGAGAGCCTGTCAGAAAATGCCATGCAAGTACATGCTGGGCTTGCTGGGAGCAATACAGACTAGCTCCGGCAACAGGACTTCCACTTCTGAGACCTGCTTCGTTTGACAGGTTGCAGAGACGCTGCGTGGTGGAATCTGTAATTAGAGGAGGGCAGGAGGGACTTGGGCGATCAGAAGATCAACCGCTGCTTGAGCCACCAGAATAATGGGCAAAATGCCCACCAGCAGGGATAAGAAAACACTTTGCAGACCTATTCTAGGAAAAAAGTGGCTTTCGTGTGAAAAGAGCTGGTCACTCGTGGGCTTGGCTTGACAATGACCCAGCAAGGACTTGCCCCTGGCTGGGTTGAGACATGGATGGAGGACTGACAGGCACAACCCAGGGCAAAGGGAAGCTCTGGACATCTCACAGCGGGGTTCAATGGCTACAGGACATGGGGAACCTGCTCTCCTAGCCTCCTCCGGGCTGCCGAGACACGGCATGGCACATGGGAGCCCCATGTCACACCAGGCCAGCTCCATACAGGGCCTGTCTTAAACTTCTGGCTCTGCAAGCCAGAACTGCAGGCAGTTCCAGGGGCTGTGATGAAGAGACCACTACCAGCCAGTCTTCTTCATCCCCTCAGCCAGACCCAGTCTGCCACTGCATTTATGGTCAGAGATCGTTTTCCCTCCATGTCTCTACAGCAGTTTAGGTCCAGGACTTTATTTCTCATGCAGCTCTTCCCAGCCTGTCCTCTCTGACTCTCCCCTTCTCCCTGAAGTCCACCAAAGGTGAAGCAAAGAGCAGCGCTGCTGATGACCTTACCCCAAGCTTGGAGTCGTTGTGGCAGTTCTGGCAGGTCCCCTCCAGGTAGACATAGGAGCTCTTGCTAACTTCATAGACAGACTGAGCCTTGCAGGAAACGCACTCCAGGGACACGATAGGGACTCCCCCCCTCTTGATGAATACCTGGGAAAGCAAGAGGCTCCATCAGAAGATCCAAGACAAAAATACTGACATCTAGCAGGTAAGTGACATCCCAGCACCTGGTTCTGCAAGGAGAAATCGCTCTGCACCAGCCCAGTCTGTGCTAAGGAAATGGCAGAAAGGGATTTCCAGAGGATTTCAGGCCAGATTTAAGCTACATCACTTTTCTTACACTGGTCAGGGCGAGCTCTTCTGTCACTGATTTTCAAGAGCCACCCAACGCCAAGCTGGGCCAATCTAGGTCATTCTGGATTTACTTTATCTGGATTCCGAATGTCCCTCTGGTACCCTGTGCTGAATTCCTAGTGAGTCCTGCTTGTGCTGTCGGGCAGGGATGATGCTAACTAAAGCACTTTGCTGTACCGACCACCTCAGGACAGCTGTTAACCCTAAAAAACTGGAATCCATGTTAGAGTTTGGAAAAGAGGAGTAGTCTAACTGGGAGATGGAAAGCCTCCGTTACAGCACAAACCAAACATCTGGCGAGCACCAGCCCTGGGAAGCAACTGCAGCTCTCCTTTGCCTTCTGTGGGTCAAACTCTTGGCCCTGGCTCTGCAGGCGTGGACTACCTGACCCAGAGGGGTCACAGCAAATCTGCTGTGGACAAAGGAGAGCAGGGTGGTGGGTCCCTGCCCTCGGCTCAGAAGATTGCTAATGGGAAGCATTTACAGTCCGGAGTACCAGAGGACTCAGGGTGAGCCAGAGAGCCTGGGTTTACAGGGGATGTGCTGGGTTTACTGGGGACGTACTGGGTTTACTGGGGATGTGCTGCCCTGTACAAAGCCAGCATGGTCCCGCTGTCTCCCCCATCCCTGCTCTGATCTTCGGAGCTTGGACTAGAACTGCATGCCACATTTCAGGACCCGACCCCTCAGGCTCTCTGCCTGCGCAGAACCATCATCATCCTAACACCACCTATGCCCCCAAGGGACAGGGATGATGATAAAAATAACGAGAAAGCACAGCTCCCACTGTGCATCAGATGCATTTTGCTCTGCAGCCTGGAAGAACCACCTCTTCCAGAGAGCGGCACGTTGTTCCGGGCTTTTAGCTCGGATCTAAGCTGTACAACTCAAGACATCTACCACACCTCCCCGGCAAAGCCCTCGGAGAGCTTTAGAATCACCGGTGGCTCAGACACAACGGCTGTTGATCTCTGACTCCTGTACTTTGCCTGAATTCCTTTAATCCCCTAGAAAAGGGGGTTGTCCAGCATTTGACAGAGCCCTCTACCCTGGCATAATTCTGAATTCAAAGACAGACAGTAATGAAGACATTGTTTAATATGGCAGACTTTTAAAAGAGGGTAAATATTCCACAGCAGTAAGCCGGAGAGCACTGAAGCTTCAGTCATTCCTACAGTATTTGCAAATTTCCTGCGACACTGGAATCATTGTTTTGCGCTCATGCATGGAAACCAGATAGTACGGAATGTCCTTGAAAGACTATCAATTTAATTTTTTTTTCCTTTTATCCTCCAGCTTTGGTTTAAAACCCAGGCAGTAAGAGTTTCCACTTTCAGACTAACTACATCTCTAATTGCCAAACACACCACGATGAACGTTTCTGACATAAACCATAACTGCTGTCGGACTGCAGATGCATTCAGCGTTAGGTTTAATTTGACATAAACAACAGGCACTTAAAAAAAACCTCCCTCAAAAAAAACCCTCACAAACAGAGAAGAGAGGAACTGTTGACAGTAAAATTAAGTACCAGCTCTTAGGAAGCTCTCTCTGGGCAAAACGCAGGACCCTCACACTGTTTTTGGGGATAGGGACTGGTGCAGGGGGACCCCTCAATGAGTGTGGGGTGGGACAGACCTGGAGGACCTTAGGAAAAATTCCTTCCCCAAAGGGCTGTCAAGCACTGGAAGGGGCTGCCCAGGGAAGGGGTCAAGTCCCCATCCCTGGAAGGATTTAAAAGCCGGGCAGACGCGGTGCTTAGGGCCAGGGTTTAGTGGTGGGATGGCAGGGTTAGGGGAATGGTTGGCCTTGGTGATCTTAAAGGGCTTTGTGTTTCTAAGAGCCTGGTGCTGTGACATGGGAAGAGCCCGGGACTGCACACAGTGGTGGAAGAGCCACCGACCACGGGCTCCTTTGCTGTCCTCCTCAGGCAGATCTGCGGTCGCAGACTCTCAGTTCCAGGAATGGTGGCCAGCACTAATGTAGCCTCTGAACAGAGAGGGACTAAAGCAAGGTCTAAAGGAACACAGAAGCTAAAAGGACTCAGCAGGACAAGCAAAAAGTGCTGCCCAAGGCAGCATAAGATGAATATATCATGGAAATACCAGTGTCTGTTCCTGCCAATGACCCGGACAGGATCAGTCATGGAGCCCCAGTGATGCCCTAAGATCTGCTTCCCCTGCTCTCCCTTGCTGGCTGGTGCAGGTAGGTGGTGGTACCTCTACAGCCCAGCTGAACTGACACCAGCTCTCAGATCGGGCCAGGGGACACAGCCTGGGGAGTCTCCTGTGGTCCTGAGCCAGCAGCACTTTCCTCTAGAAACTTCCTTATAAAAAGGGCCGGGGAATTCCAGCCCAGCTGTGGCCAGCAACAGGCACCCAAGGACAGAAAGCGATGGTCATCTGTGGTACGTACGGTTTGATTTGTTGCCTCGGGACTCATACCCTCCTTCCTGATGGTGAGGTCGAACGTATACTCCACATCTGCTTCTAATACAGCTTTGGAAATTGTGACAATTCCTTCCTTGGCACTGAAATTCAGAGAGCACCCTGCAGCCGAGCTCTGCTTGCAAGGAGAAAAGAACTTTCAAACCCTCCTTGGTATGGGTGCACATCGGGTTAGTCCACAGCCAAAACATTCAGGTCCACACAAAGTCACTGATACAGATCTTACTGGGCAATGCCACCGCTGGGGTGGGAGAAACAGGGTGGTGTGTGGACAATAAAGCACCTTATCCTATTCTTCAGGTTAGTAAGCAGTACTTGGAATACTCCTGTATTTCATCTGAGCTTCATGTTCTTGTTTTACAGCAATTAATTCTTCATTAAATAGCTTATAAACATTGCCAAACAACACAAAAAGCTCACATTAAACTCAAAAGTCTAATCCACACACACCGTATCTTTCTATTTTGAGGTAAAGATCGAAAACAATGACTTTTTAACATGCAAAAGAATCCCACATTCCATCAAAAAATGCTCCTGAGGTGGATCTCCCGTAAGAATGCGAAGGGCAGTTCTCCCTTGCCCTTGTATCACTGTGGGGTTAGGCCATTTCAGTGTGTGACGACAGTGACCTGCCTGGTGACCACAGTGACCATGACTTGTGGTCACTTGACTCCTCCAAAGTCTAACTTTGGCCCCTGCTGAAATTAGAGATATTTAACCGTTAACGGGAGAGGGATGAGAGCCCTCAGCCCCCCAGGCTGCAGTCAGCAGCTCTGTAATGCCTTCGGGTTATGAAAGCAGCTTCACTGGAACTGTGACCCAGAGGCCAAGCAGCAATGCGAATGCCTCAGCTTCCAGCACCAACACTTCTGCCCTGCCCGGGCACGCTGCGCAGCACCGACTGCAGCAGGGCTGCACTGCACAACTCCCACCAGCAATTTTTGTACCAACATCCTGAGCTAGGAACTGGGAAAGATTTGCAACCCACCTTCCAGAGCAGCTTTGTTAAAGATGCTCACAAAAGCTCCCCTCAACACCATTTCAACCGAGCCACATGTTTGTAGTGGAGCTGACGTGCAGCTGGAGCTCCCAAACGATCACCCTCTCTGGCTGTGCAAAACTGCTCTTACCTTGGAGGAGAATGTACAAGACCAATCATATAACAACGGAGTCTGTTCGCCATCGTCCAAGTTCGGGTCATAGGATTTCTCCCCATCCAAGATTAAGTCCTGAGTGTTGGACCATACCCGGTATGACCCCCCATCAATGATTGGGACCAGCTTACTTGGTATCACAGTTACATTGGCAAAGATGCTTTTGGACAGTGGGGTATCTCCAAAGGAGACAATAAAGATGAAGCAATAGTTCCCAACTTCCAGGGCAAGCTTCGGTATAACTAACTGGGGCCTGTTCACATCAACATTCGGCAGACGGATCCTGCTGGAGTCATCCAAGTTCATGCAGCTGGGTGCTCGGTAGATCTCCCAAAGGTGCTCCGTCTGGTACTTGATGCACCCTCGGAGGTCAATCTGTGCCTCTAGGTAGTTCCTCTGGGACCGCTTCATGACCACTTGAGGGGGCAAGGCTAACTCCACCTCTGGCTCCTCACACTCCAGGACTTTGACAGTGACAGTGAGGTGGGCTATGAAGAAGCTGATGAGATTGGTGGCATTCACCTCCACCAGGTAATCCCCAGGGCTCAGGTAAGAATAGTTGGCCACTGCAACCCTGGTCATTTGAGTGGAGGAGCCATCCCCAAAGGTCCACAGGAACTCGACGCTCCTGCTGCTGGGCACCACTGCTGCTTCGAACAGTGCTGTCCTGTTGACAAAGGCATTGGAGGCAGTGAGGGACACTTGGACTATTGCGTCTTGGACCTGGATGGTTCTGGTGATATTGATACCTCCCAAGTCATTGAAGGCATTAAGGTGAATCTCAAGCAGCCCTGCAGCTTCTGGGGTGTAGGAAACACTCTCTCCTGCCACAGTGACCACAGATCGACCTTGCTCTTTCCACAAGGAGAACTGCCAGGAGAATGACACACGGGAGCCGCTTCCCACCTGGGCACTGAAGCTCTTCTCTGTGCCTGTGGGTATGCCCTCCTCACAGCAGTTCAGGAGCATGACATCGCGGATGGCCTCCAGGATAGAGATGAGCACCTGAGCATGTGCGATGCTGATTTGGTTCTGCACTGTCACGGTCACCAAATAATCACCGCTCTTGGTGAACTCATGCGTGTACTTGGACCCGTTGAGCACCACCGAGTAGTCCCCACTTATGCTCACCAAGTAACTCACAGCGGTACCCGACAACATCCTGATCACAAAGGTGACCTGTTCCCCTGGTTCCACCACCTTCTTGCTGGCAAGAACTTCCAGTCCTTGCAGATAGACTGTATAAACCCCTGCTGCGGGGAACATGACTGCCACAGACTGGCCAGTCAATGTGCCGTTTGGCACCTCCCAAAGCCATGTCACTTCAGTCCCTTTCTGCAGCTCCCCCTCAAAGACCACTGTGGAGCCCGATGAGACATACCTACAGTCCAGTTCTGCGGTCCCTATACTCAGCCCCTCTATGACCTCCTCTACACAGATGTAAATTGTTGCATTGGTTGAATCCAGCTTGTTTTCTGCTCCAATGATGACCTCTGTCACTCCAGGGCTTTGGAAGGAGTGTATAATAAAGGGTTCAGAGGTAACAGGAGAGAAGCCGTCCTCTAGGTACCAAACATAGGTGATGCCAGTGCCACTGGTTATGGTGGTACTTATGTTAACAGAGGCATTAATAGCAACTGGGTTAGGGAAGGCATAAGGCTGTAAAAAGCCAATGCTTTCGATGAACTCCAGTGTCCTGTTAGCAGTTGCGCATCCCAGCATGTTCGTGGCTTTCAGATAGACAGTGTAGTTTCCAGCTTCTAGGACGCTCAAGGAGAAGGTTTTCCCAGTGAAGGTCTGCACAGCATTGCCATCCCTTTGGGCTACCCAGCTGTAAGAGATGTTTGTTCCCTCTCTCACCACTGCCTGCAAATGGAGTGTTTTATTAGTTGGGCAATAGACGTCCTCCACCAGGTCACTGCTGGCCACCTGCAGGCCTTCAATCTGCTCCAGGACATAGACATAGATGCTGTCCTGCAATGAGCTGATCTTGTTCTCTGCTGTCACAATGACGTTGAATGTGCCCACGGACCGGAAAGTGTAGGAAATTGTGGAGGAACCTTGGATAGGAGTGCACCGGTCACAGAGGATCCACGAGTAGCGGATGGCACTGCCAGTGACAAGAGTGGCCACAAAACTCACCGAACCATTTAATGGCACCACTGTCCTGCTGGCATTGATGGTCAGCCCATGGAGCCGACGTTTCACTGTGATGTCGATGATGGTCTCATTAAAGCTCACATCATTCTGGCCCATCACACTAATTGTGTAATGGCCTGTGTTGTTGTAGGAGTGGGTAGCGATTTGGCCCGGCTGGGTAGTGCCATCTCCAAAGTCCCAACAGTAACTCACTTTGGTTCCATTCATGCTGGCAGAGAACAGGTAGATCTGGTTCAGCTCCAAAACACTTGTCCCGTTATACTCTATCTTTGCTATCCCAACTGGTTCCTGGACTTCCACAAACGCTGTGTCATTGTTGAAAGAGACATTGTTGGAGACGGTCACCGTGACCAGGAAAACCCCTGTGTTCTTGTAGGTGTAGGTCACTTCAGTCCCACTCGATCTTGTGGACTCATTGTTCCCGAAATCCCAGCGGTAGCGGTACTGGTAGAGAGGCACGGCACCGACTTGGAAGCTGATCTCCTCACCAAGCCTCACAAACTGTTTGGAAGGGAGAAGGGTGACATTGACTATCTCCGGCTCCACACAGACACTGGTGAAATAGTGAGCCTTGTTAAATCTGCTGGAGAGAGTCAGGGAGAGGGGGAATGTTCCACTGCGGGTGAAGTTGTGCATCACCATGGGGTCCCCATTGACTGTGACATTGGACGAGCCATCTCCGAAGGTCCAATCAAAGACGTATTCATCAGGATTCCCCGTCACATACGCAGTGAGCTGCACATCTGGGTGCTCAAGGATGCAAGAAGTAGGCTCTATTTTGAGTACTTCCAGGACAAATATCCGAACGGACACAGTTTGGGAGACAGAGTTCACAGGATTCACAGCCGTCACGTTCACCGTGCAGTTGATGTCCTTTATGTACACATGTTCTACCACTGGTACCTGACTCCGCAGCACCGTCCCATCCCCCATATCAAATATCCAGGTGATACTGTCCCCCGTCTGCACTGAAGCGTTAATGGTCACAGATGCTCCCAGCTCTGCTGCCTCATCTGCAGAAACATGGAGCCCAGTTATCTCTTCAAACACTTGGTAGCACTCAACGGTCTCCACACTGCTTATGGTATTGTTTGCTGTCACGGTGATGTTGTATACCCCTCTTCTGGAGTAGCTGTATGTTGCTGTAAACTGGCTCTCTGTGAACAGTGAGGACCCATCCCCGAAGTCCCAGGTGTACACAACGCCATAAGGAGATGGCAATGGATTGGCTCTGAAGGTGACTGGACGGCTCACAACTAAAACATCCTCCTCTACTTCCATCTTCACATCAGTCAGATAACTGTGGATGTGAACTGGGGTCAAGTGGGTGAGGTTCTCAAACTGGTTTGACACAAGAACCATCAGGGCATATTCACCTGCAAAGGAAGAGAGCAGAAAAAGACCAGTTGTGAGGACATGATGGTGCAACAGCTTCCTTGGCCCTGCAGCAGTGTGGGGAGCATGACAGGGGGCTGCAGGGAGCTGCTCTGCTCCCACCCTGCGCGCACCTTGGGCTTCCCTCCTCCGCTCCAGGACAAACAGAATTACAACCAGGCCATGCATGTGAGGACCAAACACCAAGTAAGAAGCCAGTCCGACAGATACAGAGAAAAGATTTTTCTTTCTGTTGGTTCACAAAACAGACCCCCTTCCTGCTGCCCGCAGCAGCGCTCCCATTGGCACAGAGCTCGCCTGCCGCTCATTTGCCTGCTGAGGCTGCCCAAAAAGGGGACTGTGTGCGGTGGACCTGCTTCGTACAGCATGCACAAACTTCTCCTTGAGTTATAGAGGATGGCAGTCGCTCTGGCTGTTTGCTCAGGAACGAGGTCGTGACTTTCAAACCATCGTTTTATTGGAAGGTGCCTTGTAACCCTCTCACAAGAAAGATAGCCGAGCCCTTTCTTCCCCAGAGAACCGTCCTGAGCGTACCTGAGTCTTCATAGACATGCGAAACATTGTGCTCAATTACAACCTCATGGACACTGGGATCAGGAACAAGGAAAGACTTGTTGTAGGGAGGTCTGAACAGGTATGTCTCCTGGACACCATCTCCAAAATCCCACCTGGAGAAACATGCAAACCATGTTACACCACACGACAGGAGAACCATGGAAATCCCAGAGGAACCCTGGCTTGGTCTCGGGCTATCTTTCAGGCTCAGGGCTGGGGTTTTCAGAAAAGCCATGGGAAACATAATGCCAAGTATCACAGCAGTAGCTGTGCCTAATGCTGCAGAACTGTTACTGTGAGAGGAGCACAGCACTGGTAAGGAGGAACCCAACATTAAAGCAACATTGCAATCCTTTTAAAAAGAAGTATTTCAGTCTGAACTACAGGTCCCAGCCAGTGCGACTGAACCACGCTTGCAGGGATTTCAAATTAACTAAGACAGCAGCTGAGGAATGGGCCATTTGACGTCAGCTGGCCCTGGGAAGAGAAATAGTGTGGGCACGACTGGTAAGCTACGCACGGTAAGATCCTAAGTTCTAGCAACTTGCAAAAGACTCACAGGAACATAGCATCCACAGCTGAATCAACCTGAACTCTCGCTGTAAGCTCCACGGTGCTGTTCTGAGGGAGGACCGGCAGGACACCCAACACAGTCAGGTTCTTCATCTTATTCATCATCTCCACTGTGACATTGTAATTGACTGTAAAGTTACTGACGTGGTTGGAGGCGGTGAGCTGGGAAGGACAGTGGGACAAAGAATGTGTTTGGGACCCCCTCGCCATGTTGCCCTCTCCTGAGAGCGTGGCTTCACTGTACCGAAAAGGTCCCCCCCGGCAGGCGAGCAGGTTAGGTCAGAGAAGCAGCCTGTGGGACAGGGAGGCAGGGGCAATAGCCTGGGTGGGCACTGGAAAGCAGCACAGACTGGAAGACCGCCAACCTGGCAAAGTCACCTCTTGCTGGCACCACGTCTCCACCACTAAAGTCAGGCCAAGGAAGGACTCATTCTACAGCCAAGGGGACAAGGAGAATGGCTTCTCATCCCGAGACTCTGGCTATAAACTTGCCAGTTACCCTTGCCCAGCTCCGAGGTGCCCCGCACGCTGCCTCCAGCCGCTCAGCATCAGCACTTGCTGTCACCAAGGTAGCAACAGCCACCCACTTTCCTTAGGACAGCGGCAGAAGAGCAGCTCCAAGCACAGAGAGTGGGGATGGGAGAGACTCATAAAACCAAGGATGCCAAGTGCAGCTCCTGGGTAGTGGGCACAGAGAGGGAGAGCAAAATTGGGCAGAGGAAGGAAAGGGAGAATGGATGGGCAAGAGACTGAAAAGACACAACAGAAGTAGTGCAGGATCCTCAAGATTATCTAGGCATATAACACTGACACAGCACCTAATGACAAAGCACCTTGCCACCTCCTCACCTGCAGAAGAGCTGAGGTCCTGACAGAAGGGATCCTTCAAACCCGGTTGAATAGAGACCTCCCACTCCAATGGATAAAAGAAGTTTTTGTCTAGGCTTGGGTGGATCTGTTAGGCTGAACCCCATCAACCCCAGGCTAACGCCACCTTGTCAACTCTGTAAGTAAAAGCAGTCCAGGCCTGCCAGCACAGTGCTTCACCCAGCAAATTAGTGCTACTCAGCATAGTGCTGCACAAAGCAAATTAGTGCTAGCGTGCCCTCGGAGCTAGGGCTGGTGTCTCTTCAGGAAGCCAGCAGCTACCCTGCAAATGGATCGGGCAGCTTGGAGCCAGACCAGGATTCTGCACGGCGGTACAGGGCACATGTCCTGGATGCAGCTGCAGTGGAGTTTATTTCTTTTTTTTTTCCTAGTAGCTGGTATAGAGCTGTGTTACCCCCTGATGTTTTAGTTGTTGCCGAGCAGTGCTTACACCAGACAAGGACCTTTCAGCTTCCCATGTCCTGCCAGCGAGAAGCCGCGAGGGGGCACAGCCAGGGCAGCTGACCCCAACTGGCCACAGGGCTATTCCAGACTATATGACGTTGTGCTCAGTATAGAAATTGGGGGGACTTGGCCAGGGTGGTGACTGCTGCTCAGGAACTGGCTGGGCATCAGTCAGCAGGTGGTGAGAAATTGCATTGCGCATGACTGATTTTGTATATTCTATTATTATTATCTTTATTATTGTTATTATTATCCCTTCCTTTTCTGTCCTATTAAACTGTTTTTATCTCAACCAATGATTCTTTTTATTCATTTTATTTTTTTTCCAATTCTCTCCCCCGTCCCACTGGCGGGGGGTGGAGTGAGTGAACGGCTGTGTGGCGTTCAGCTGCCTGACGGGTTAAACCACAAGAGCATGATCCAGGAAGATGTTCTGGCCAGAGATAAACTCCTGTTGCACAACAGATACCTCGCTCTACCCAGACTCTCTGCTCAATCCTTCTTCTGGGGTCACGACAAAAACCAGCGTTCCAGTCTGCACCAGCAGAAAGAGAGGAATTCGGAGACCACAAGAGCTTGTGGCAGAAGCTCTGTCCTGCCTAGGAAAGTCTTACATTTGCATCCTGGCTCTGAATCCACATCTCCTGCCTGCCAAAGCAGTGGCCGGCACCCTGCAGTGGGGCTCCCTGCCTCATTCCTGCCGGGGAGGAGGAAGGACAGCGCCAAAGACAAGGAAGGCAGTGAAGTCAGCTGTAACGGAAGAACAGGAAAAAGCTTACTATTTGCATTTGCAAGAGCAGCTCAGTGAAAAATAGCAGACAAGCTCGTTAGGAGCACAGTGAAAACTTCCTCAACTCAGCTCTGCCTTCACCTCTCCCTGCTGCTTTTCCTGCTTAGTTTGTGGGATGAGGTGGAAACCCAGGATTGAAATGGTATCATGGGAAAGGCCTTGGCTTACCGAAAGCTTGTACACAGCTGGGCTTTGGTAGATAACGTTGAAGACAACATTGTAAAAAGTGAAAGATGGCTTATCATCTACTGTCCATCGGAAAGTCACATCTGACCCAGCTTCCATCACAGGGACGTAGCTCTGAAAGGCATGAGGACATTTTATACCAGTGCAAGAGAAAAACATGCACAACACTTCCCAGGAGATCTCCAGCTGAACTGGAGAGGGAGCAGAGCCAGACATCACAGCCTCAGAGCGTGACACGGAGGTGCAAAATCATCTGTGGCTTTGTGGCCGATAGAGAAATGCCAACCCTGATTCCATAAATCAACAGCAGAGCTGGGAGCAGAACCCATACTGCCTGCTCCCGCACCCTAGAGCTCTGCTCTTGTGATCAGGTCTCTTTCTTGCTGGCTAAAGAAACCTCTCTGGTATCTTTGTGGAAACAACTCAGCTTTAGCTACACCTGCAAGCTGAGTCTCTGACCCTTGTCCACTGATGGTTCCTGACCCAAAGCCTAAAATGTTTGACCTGCACTGTACAGGGTAGGCTCCCTCCTCCCTCCTACAGTGCCTCCTGAGCAGACTGTGGTAGCCAGGAAGAGTGAGACCAAAAGGCATTGCAGGCACAGGGTTCTGCCATAAGCAGCCGGAGACTGAACAGAGCATTTCAGACACTGTTATTGAACAGGTTCCTGAGGGCTCGGCTGGAGCACTGGGGATGGGGGACTGGAGAAAAAATAAGAAGACTGCAAACACCAGAGTAAATCCGAGACTTTGATGGATGGATGAAACATTTTTATAATTTCAGTCAGGTGATGTAAGGATATAGTAGAGTAAATCTAAACACCTAAAGGAATAACTACCTGGACAAGTCAAGAGGAGGTGAACACTGGCCTTCTTTCATAACGCCTCTGGTTTTCGGCTGAACTGGAAAGCCAGTATCCCCCTTGCAGGAGGTGCTGCCTTACCTCCGAGGGAATTAAAATGAGCGTACAGCTGAGCTGCCTTCCTGCTGGAGAGCACCAATGCTTTCTGCCACATGCCCGTGCCTGCAGCAGCGCTGTCTGCACGGCCCAGGAGCCAGCGCTTAGCAGCAAGCAGTGCTACACCTGACCAGTGTGGAGCTGAGCCCCAGCCCTCCTTGTGAGCCAAACCCACACTGTTAGCAGTGAAGGCTAAAAATGCTCCTGAGGAATCAAAAGCAGCAGCCATCACTCACCACTCGTGTATTTAGCAGGACTCTGCTCTCGGGGTCAGGGGTGGCCCGCAGCCCACGGATGGGCTCCTCCACTTTCACTGTGACGGTGATGTTCTGGGAGCTCACGGCATTCTCCGCAACAAGCACGTGGGTGCTCACCCCCTCCCTGAGACCGCTCAGGTTGACCACAGCAAACCAGGTGTCATTGGTCTCCCTGGCACAGTCTGCCACTGCAACAGCCGCTGGGCAGGACCCCTCAAACGGGAAGGTGTGGTTGTCTCCCAGCCAGCTTGCTGTCGCGTTCACCCCTGAGGAGAGTTTGACGACCAGGGTGGTGTGGTTGGATGGTAGGTACACCCTGCTGCCTTGAGGAGCGGGATGGATGACACGCAGGCCTGACACCCAGGAAGTCACCCAGAACCTGCAAGACAGATTGGTGCTGAAGACCCCGTTGTCCACGCTGGCTCTGACTGTGTAGCGACCTGGATGTTCCAGCCCTGCGTTGTGGGGGCTGATCACCGGGGCAAGCTGTTCCTCGGCATAGCGAACTCGGAGAGAGCAAACAGTCTCGTTTATCCAGGTGGCACCGATGGAGCTGTCAGACAGGCCAAGTGCCCACTCTGAAGAGTTTATGCTTAAGACACTAGTTCTGTAAGGGGATATGGTACTTGGCTGGCACTGGAGGAGTAAGCCCGAGCCTGCGTCATGTTGGATACTGAAGATGTCCTTGGCCCTGACAAAAATACTTTCTTTTCTGAATGTGACCTGCAAAGACAGGAGACGTTTTTGGATTAATGCCTCAAACTAAGAGCACTCAGCACCCAACTCTTGCCTGGGCAGGACAGCTGGATTTACTGCCAAGTGGAAATCAACAGAAAAGCTGCAGATCCAAACACAGCATGGGGAGACATTTCACCATTTGGCCACGCTGAGTCAAACGCCAACACGGAAGTCAGCTTCATGCTCTATCTCCACTTCCTAAGTGCAACGGGCATAGCCCAGGAGATCTACACGGCCTTTTGACCAACCGTGCTATTGCAGGGAGTCCATGGCTTAGAGCGGGTAAGATAGAAAGCGGTGGCATGTGGGACACTGGACAAGTCCTTTCATGTGAATGGACTTCAGTATCTCCATCTGCAAACTGGGAACAATTCTTTATTTACCCAAAGCACTCAAGAGAAAACTGCCCCACCTACTCACTGGTTACAGCACTAATAAACACTGACCAGATACTGGGAAGAAGGGCCAGCTGGTATCATAAAGAGAAATTCCTTGATGAGTTCATAGCTGAGCTGGCTTTCATTGTGCTGAAGGGAAACGGGGGCAGGGCTGCTGGCAAGAGAACTGTTGGCACACTCAGTCACGTTGCAGCAGTTGTTTAGTGACGAGCACAAATTAGTCAAATGACACCACTGGAAACCAGGAGGACATTCAAGTAGAGTCCAGTTCCCATCATCCGGAGCAGCTTGGAATTGTTCTGTAGCGTTTTTTCCCTCCTGGTAGTCTGGAAGAAGTGAAAGAGAAAGCAAAGATCACCATTCTGACAAGTAACACTTCTATTGCACGTCTTTGCTCCAAATTCACCAGTTTTCTCTGCTCTTAGTGAAAGCTGCAACTGCAATGCATCCTGGTACTACGTAAGACAAGTGTCCTGATTTACAGGAAAATTTCACAAAGGCATGAAGATTGTTAAAAACAAAGTGAGCCTCTTTTCCAGGGAGAATGCACCAATTTGCAATCTAAAACAGATCTATGTTCAAGCAAAAGCAAGTCCAAGTAAAAGCAGAGCTGGCTTTGACATTGAAAACACATTAAGCAACTTCTCTTAAGTTAATGTTTCCATGTCAAAGTATCAGCTTTTCAGTGTCAAAAAATATCCTTTTGTAACCAGCCAACCCTATGGCTATTGCAAATATTCTGCTGCAGAACTAATTGTTGCCAGAACTGTGACTATCGAGCTGTTGTACAAGGAATAAAAGGCTTATTAGATTATCTCACCCATCAGGAAGAAATGGGCTCAGGAAAATGTTCTTCCTTGTTAACCTGTGGGGCCAGATGGACCAGAAGACATTCTCATTTGACGTGTCACATCTTCCCAAAGTGTAGAAGTATAGCTCAGAAGATTAATTCACATCAACGGATGTTCCTTACACTCACACTTTCTGCACACACTGAGACAGGTTTCTCCCTCTATTCATTTCCCCAGGACAACCACTTCTCCAAGGCAACCTCAGGCTGTCCAATCATGCCTGCAGATTTTGCACTTGGGTCTCCTCAAAAAACGGAGCCAGACCTCTGAGCCTTTAAGGCTTCAAAGCTTCTGCTTTGAAGACAGAGGGGCCACAAGAAGGCCACCCACACTCAGCTTGACATGGTCCTGACGGTGTCAGCTCTAGCAGTACCCCAAGCGTCGAGAGGAGGTGCCTCACCTTCTCCATCTATCGGTCTATGCACCTGGAACCTCACTTGAACGGGCTGATGCAGTTCCTGGGTCACAAACTCCAGGGCAGTCAAATACCCCTCGTGCCTGAATGCCAGCTCAGGGAACACCATCACCTGCAAAACAAACAAGGCTCTCACCCGCCTGCGTCTCCCCGGGCTCCCTCTGCAGCAGCAGGATGAGCAAACCCCTCTCACCTCCACAGCTTGCCATGGAGCTGACAGCACATCTTCCGTCACATTTTTCACAGCCTCATGTGTGTCAAACACAGGGTTGCCCACAAAGAAGTTTTCAGCGTTTAAGAGAACTCCTGTTTACAAAGGAAATATTTGAACAAAGCCCATGAGACTCAGCAACGCCTGAAGCTATTCCCCCCACCCTGTTCACACGATGCAGCAGAGCCGTAGCAGGGCTTGGACCACTCAGGAATCTCTAACTCCAGCTTTACTGGAGAAGCAGCTGCTCTAAGCCTGTAGTTTCCTTCTTCTTCTTGCAGGTGTTTTGATTTCTTTCTCATCCTGCACAATTAATGTTTGCATTTGTAGTTCTCAGCAATTTTGAATTCTAGGAAGTCTGCAAATACTTCTCTCTTGCAACACCCCATGATTTGCTTGAAAGTTTTGAGCACAAGGTGCATTCCCCATCCTCGCTGTCCCCCTGGACTTCATGGGAAACATGACCAGGACCAGCTGGTTGCCACCTCTGGCTCATTCACAGCCAGGTCAGGCTCTGGGGACTGAGCACAACCGGCTGATGCTGTCCCTCCTACCAGGGCCAGCAGGCTCCCTTCCTAGCGCTGGCTTTTCCTTCTTACCTAAACCTTCTCCCATATTTCATGTCCTTTCTGCTTGTCTTTCGTGCTCCCTACACCACTTCGGGAGGGTTGGGAGGCTGCATGAACACAAACCTGCACAGCACACACCACGTAAAAGCTCACCTAATGATCTCCAAGGCCCTACAGTCTTTTAAGTCGCAAGACCCCAACTTCTCACAAACTACAAGATGCCACAGGACAGCAAGAGTCACCAAGGCAGCACCATGGCCTCAGACCATGGCAGCAGCAGAGACTGCCCAAATAAGAGAGAAAAGCTATTTCCAAAGCTCTGCCTCAGTGCTTCACTCCTCTCTCTACTTCTGCTGATGGGAAAGATTGGAGTGGGCCAAATTCTTCCCTTTGGGCTGAGCTCAGGTTTCTGAAAGTTTATCAGTCAAGCCTCTGTGGGGAATACCATGGTTGTTGCCAGTCCCACCTGATCTGGGGCGATGCTCTGGACGACCCCCTCCATGCAGCCCTATTTTTCCCTTGGCACGTGCCAGTGAGCAGGACACCCGCCTGCCCATGATGCCAGCGGATGGCAAGAGAGAAGCAGCGCCTACCTTTCGGCTTGTACTCGCAGACGTAGCTGTGCTTGGCCATGCACAGGTCTGTGTTACACTGGCCCGTTGGGCCCATCCGGACACAGTGGTCAGCGTTTGACGGATGGGGTTCTCCTGGCAGCCAGTTCTGACAGCTCTCCAGATTAAATCCTTCACCTCTTTGCTGCGCTCCAGTGCTTGCAAAATCATTGAATCCAATCCAGACATCAAGGCTCCTTCAAAAAAAAAGAAGAAGGGGGGGCGGGATTTCAGGAAATCATGAGTATTAGAAAGATCTGGGACAGATGCCATCTATGGTTCTCTATGAAAATAATAATCTTAACAGCAATGGTTTCATCTGGGTGTCAGAGGCTGCATTTAACAGAGCCTTTTAGGTACTGAAGGATTTCAGTATCCACTTGACCACCAGAACCTGGGTCTTCAGTAACAGCTCTTCCACGGCACCCCATCCTGCTATCTACCAGCCCTTCAAACCTCTGTCCTAAGGGCTACAGAAAGCCACCCACCCTTTGACAAATGGAGGGGACAGCTGAGCCAAAAGGATCCAGACCGAGTGATCAATACCAACGCTAGAGTGCAGCCAAGCTGGGGGAGAGAAGCAGTTGGGGGACCTCTGTGGGCAGCCAAGTCAGACCCTTGGTGACCACTGCCCCAAAACTGGCGTCACCCCGTTCCCAAAAGGCCAGTCCTCTCACTCGGGTTGCAGGAGGACCCGGTTAAAGGCTCCGTCAGCACCACAGAGCTCATGACATACTGGTAAGCACTGGTTCATCCCAGCCACAACTGGTACAGCCCACAGATATCATAGAGGGTAATGAAACACGGGCGGGAGATGACCCCAGTTGGAGAGGAGAAGCACAAGGTTGTGTTGTACAGAAATTCCCGATTGCACATCTTCTGCTTCCCCAAGTGGGAGTCGCTTCCTTCGTATCGATACGTTTATTAATACCACCATGCAGCCTGGCCTCCCCTCCCAGGCATGGAGGCCCGATGGCCACGTGTGAGCGCTGGAAGGGCTGAGGCCAGCCCTCCCATGGCGGAGAAAACCCTTCACGATGCAGGGAAGTGGGACTATCTGCCAACTAAGGACTATCAGCAGGCTGATTTGAACCTCAGTCACCTCTTCGGAGAGCAGTCTGTTAAAACAGCCTGCCTGCATTGCAGTCTGAGTGACCCTCACAGACACTTTTAAGCCCATATCATGGCTTAAGAGGAACGGGATGGTCATACAAAACCATCTGAAAAAGCCGCATCCGTTAGAAAACTCATGCTTCATTTGTGCAGACCTGTGGAGTTTTCACTAGTCAATTCTCCACTGTAAGCAGAGCTGGCACCAGTGCAGGGTTAAACCTCAGATGGTGCCAGGTCGTGAGCTCCTGTTCAAATCGGGGCATCTTTGATGCAGCTGCTGGGAGATGCATCAACTCCCCAGCCATGGGGGGGACGAGGCACCGGCAGCAGAGGCCAAAGCACTGCAGGCAGATGAACCCCTCATACAAAAGAAACTGCCAGTATCATTTTAGGAAGATGAAAAGTCCCTTCCACATTTGGAAACTGGCTGAATCCCAGCAGAGACTCTGGTGGAAAGTGCTGAGTGGTCTTTCATAGCCACAAACAGCCTGGACAACTGTTTCTAATCGCACCCAGCAGAAAGTGAGGCATTTGTTCCATATTAACTGGGGGCAGGGGATACACCAGTCTCATCATGCACCCTTCAAAGTCCCTGGCTCCTTCTCCATGCTTCCTCCTGCAGGCTGCAACCAATTCTGCGACGGCCTTGCCCCTCCGCTCCAGCGTGTTCCCAGGGTGGTAGAACTGCTCTGCAAAGAGCAGGCCAGGGAGATAACTGGTGTCTCTCCACCACTAGGCTGACGCCAGATGAAATGATTAATGAGGTCATGCTGAAAAACGACGGTGAAAATAACTCTTCCGTGAATCAGTAGTTTTCATTGCAAATAAGATTAAAAAATAAATAACCGCTGTGCTCTGCTCCCGAACCACTGGCAGAGGATTAGGGAGAACAGGCTAGGAAACCGCCTGTTCACTGCCGTTAGTAAAACTCGATAGAGATTTTCCTTTTCTAATTCCAGCTATGATCTAACTGGGCTGGCTGGCTTGCTTCCCACCCCTGCCCCACTGCCTGGCCCGTTACCTTGCAGAGAGGAGCAAGAGGGCTCTCAACACCCGCTTCCGAAGCAAGATGCAAGCATCCCGCTGAGGAAGGAGCAAGCTGCCTTCCTTGGGGCAGCAGGAGCAGAACCGAAGCCTGAGGAGGCTTGGAAGGGGAGAGGGGCTCCCTGCGCTGCCTCAGCAGAGAAAGTGGGGTCCCCTGGAAGGGCTGTGGGCTGGAGGACTCTGCTTCTGGAGGCAGGGAGGGGACCAGCTCAGCCCGTGCTGCTCCTGGGGAGGCCAGCAAACGACAGGAGTGCCGGAGAGGAGAGAGCGGTCCTCGCCGCTGCGTGCTCTAATGGGAAACAGATTTCTGCTTCTGTCATTTTCCCACAAGAAACTACGGAGGCTGCATGTTCCAAAAACCTGCGGCTCGGCTGGTTTGTCTTTTATCACCAGGGAAATCGCATCCTGGAACTGCCTCATTCATGTTTATCTGAATGGATTAATAAAAATAAATACATGAAATAAAGGGGGCCGGGGAGGAGAGCAACGTGGGGCGGCAGCTGGGAAACAGCTTGGGCGGCTCATTCCCTTCTAACATCTCATGATTTCCTTGAGCTGCAGTCCATCAAAAGCCCTGCACGCAATGCCTGATTAACTCAGAGCAGCAAGTGACCGGTCCCTAACCCGCGGGAAGGGACAGAATCCTCTTCCCTGGAGCAGGGACCACATGGTTGCAACCTCAGGATAAATCCCAGTGTGAAGGGAACAGGGCAAGGATACAAGTTTGGGGAGAAGGGGCTACCAGACCTTCAGCAGGGCTGTTCAAAGCCTGCGTCACCAGCAGCTGCTCCCTTTGCATGTGCTTTTTGGGCTGTGTTTATTCAGAGGCCATCTCCAACATCTCCAACATCTGCATCTGGGAGCGCTGACAGAGCTGTCAGGCCCCTGAAAGCTCTCCCGGTCGTCCTCCCCCTGCCCCAGGACGGCTGGTTGCAGAAAGAGCACTTAGAGGGGCGGATTTAATCAAAGACTGACACTTTTCGGTGCTCTCTGTTTATAAAGCCCAAGCCCTGAGGTGGAACAGATGCTGCTGGAGCCTGACACTCGGAGAGGAGTGCTGCTCCTTCTCAGGAGGCGAAGTAAAAGGAGAAGAGGTCTGGACTTCAGGCTGCATCCATGTCTGAGAGGGTGTGGGATCCCAGCTGGGAGGCAGGATCGCAGCACTGGGCTTTGCTAGAACGGCTGCTGGATGCCACAGTGTCATGCATGGGACAATCCAGCTGTAATTCTGCTGAAAGAGGGAGCTGGTTGCAAGGTCACCCTCAGGTGACCCTGCCTCGCAGCCAAACACCCTCTGGACACGAGCTCCTGAGCTTCTCCACCGTCCAACCCGAGTCTGCATATTTTGCTGAACTCCCAGGTCTGCTCAGCCCAGCCCCATTTGCTCCTGACCCTGCACCCCTCTGCACCATTTCAGATGCACCCACAGGCACAAACGTAGAGGTACAAGATGCCCACTAGCAGTAATCCCCCAATTCCCAGTTCTGACTTCCAGCCTTTCCGCCCCATTCCTCTTTTTCCATCCACAGCCTTTAAGCGAAAAAGCCAAGTTCAGCAAGGGCTCAAGCTCTGCTTATTAATCCTCTTTGTTCAGCAACCTCACCCCTACCATCTCTCCGCAGTCAGCCTGGACCCGTGGGTCTCTCCAGCCTGCCTGCCTGCTGCCGGGCTCGGCAGGACACTCCCTCTGCACCCCTCTGCAGATGCAACCCCAGGAACACAGGACCTGTCCCTAGGAAATCTTAACCCTCCTCACTTACCTGATGACATGAGCGACCAAGAAGCTCTGGATCTCGGGGCTGCTCACAAAAGCCAGCTCTCCATTGCCGTGCTGCTGGCAGTGCTGCTGGGCCTCCAGCCACTCAGCCTTCTCCACCACCAGCTGATAGCAGTGGTTATTGCCCGGGAAAACTAAGCCATCAGGGGGACACATGGGGTGAACTGCTGCAGGAGGTAGAAGAACACAAGCATGATGTCCTTTCTATGGGCCCACACATACCAAAGTAATCTGGGGAGCGAGGCTCCAGGCATGTCCCGTCCTTCTTGCAGCCCATAAATCCCCTTCGCTGTTGAACTGCACTCAGTGCAGTCATCTTCTTGGCCCAGGACAGTGCAAAACACTGCCTGGTCAGTCAGGGGAGCAAGGAGTGCCCAAAGGAGTCATCCCTTACTCCTCACAGAGGAGGAACGGAAAGGTAAGGCCCAGGACCCAGTGCCACCCTCCCTTGTCCAGCACCTACCCAGCCAACGCTGCTTACCTCTGCCCAGCTCTCCAGCCTCTGCAGTGATACCGTACAACACCGTGAGGCCAGTGCCACCTCTGTTGCGGATCCGTATGTCGAGACTCTCATTCGTCTTGACCAAGGAAGGACACTGCAGTTCTAACTGCTGGGGTAAAGCTACCACCTCAATTTCTGCCTGCACGTATAAGACCTTGGTGCCCACGAAGATGGTGGCAGTGACATTGTACCGCCCAGGTAAGGCATACATGTGGACAGCTGCGTTTCCAGTGGTGTTGAGAACCTCTGTCTGGTCCCCAAATTCCCACAGTAAAGTGCTGGCAGCAATGGGAATACTGACATTGAAGAGCACGTCCTGGTGCAGGCTGTACCAGGGCTGGAGTCCTGTGAAAGACACAGGTAGCTGTGCCTGGAAGGGAGAGGGGATGAGTGATGGGCCACCACAGGCCTGCCCGGACAAATGCTCAGTGCAAAATGGCAAACAACCGGAGGAAGAGTTTGTTTCATGGGCAGTACCACACAAACACTGCCCCTGGCTGCTGAAACCTCCATATTCCTGGTCTTCGGCATAACAGAGGGCACTGCAGGTCTCCTCGGTGAGGTTCCCAGGGTGAACAGAGGTGAAGAGGATGACAAGTTCAACCCCTTCTGTGTGGTTGCTTGTCAGACATGTTACGAATTGAGCTCCTGGGGAAAGAAGAGAAGATCCTCTTGCAAACTGACACCATGAAGCCATGCCTTGGTGCACTCCTCCAAGAGACACCACCCCACGCCCCTGGGAACGGCCTTCTCCTGGGCAGCTTCTACTCCAAGCATTTCCTTTTTGAGACTTGCCTGGGAAGTCTTTAATCCCTCAGCAACGATTTCCAAACTCTTTATGCTAATTAATGATGACAGAAGTAACAAACCAGTCACAGAGATTTATGAGGCAGCAACACTCTCTACATAAAAGGGGTCTTTGGAGAGCCTGACACTCCCATGGGACACGGAGCTGCTGAGTCTGACCCTTGCAGGAGCCTGAAGGACCAGCCACCAAGTGAGACCAGGAGAAAAAGTTGTCCCCTGGCTGTGCCCTGGCTGGGGCCAGCACAGCACATTTCACCACATGCTGCCTGGGGCTTCCAGCAACAAGTCCGCAAGCAAACACATCTGGGCAGAGCGGCACATTGGGGCCACGGGGGAGACGCCACCGGAGTCCCCACCAGGCCCATGCTGGAGCCTGCAGCCACCTTACTCCTTGGGGAGAGCCAAGACCTTTGCACCTACTTGCAGGCAAAATCTGGCACTAGAAAAGAGGGCAATGCCACACGCAGCCTGCACCCGAGGCGCGAGGAAGGATGCACACGTATATTCATGGGCAGGATGCACAGAAACAACACGTGCCTGGCTACTGCACAGACGCACACGTGCACGGACACGGACAGCAATGGCAGCCCCCATTCTCAGAGCAGCAGCTCATTCCCTTGAGTTTCCTTCCCCCTCACCGGCTTGCAAGGGGTGGGACGTTTCTCTGCCACAAACACAGAGGCAGGGCCTGCGCCGCGCGCACAGCCGCAGCCCAGCTGGGACTGCCTGGCCTCCTCCCCAGCTCTGCCCACGCAACCGAGCCATGTTTGCTCCTCTGTTTCTGCTGGTTGCTACAACATCTCTCCCCAAACATCTCAACAGCTCCGGCCTTGCGTGATCTTCCTGTATCGATTCCATCCAACTGTCCGGCTTCCTCCATGGCCTTCCTGCAAACACTGAGCCACTTTTCTTAAGAAAAATCCCGCGAGGAGGACCACGGCATGGGAACTACTTTGCTTTTTCACACCAGCCTGGTCATACGTCTTTGTTCCCTGCCAGCCAGTAACAACTGTCAGTAGCTGGCAGGCTGTCCCCAGCCTACTCCCATTACACTGCATTACCCAGAAGACAGCCTCACACTATTGTTTCCACACTAACCTGGAGGAGTTCAGGAGGGGAACAACTAAATATCAAGGAGAATAACAGTGCCAGTGTTAATCCCCTTGCTAATTCCAGCACCAGGCAAACAGAGCACTACCGAGGTGCTGCAAGGCTGGGGTAACTTTGCTGGGGGTAGCATGGGTTTTGGTCCCAGGAGAGCAACTGCACTTCAACAAGCAGCTCAGCTGGCTCCCACCAGCTCTAGTTCCCCCAGCCCTCATGCTGTGTCCTCCCATCGTGCATTAAAGGAGATGCCTGTCGGGGGGAGCACTGGCTTTCCCTCCCTCTCTCTTTACCTAGACATAGCTGAGCATCCAGGGGGGATAAGTTTTCTTAGGGCTCCCGCTCCCACTCTCCAAGTAAACACCACCCCGTGTTTCTGAGCCAAGGCAGTCAGAAAAATGCACCCAGAGCAGGCAACAGGCTGTAGATCGGGGCAGTGCTCATTCAACGCTCCCGACGTGGAGTCCTGTCACCCACAATGATTCAGCTTAGCATGTCCTCAGGTCCCATCAACTCCAAGAGATTTCACTGCTTAAAGTCAGACTGTTAAAAGCTTGAAAGAATGAAAGCCTGAGGCTGGAGGTCATGGAGCTAGTGCCATCTGATGGCTGCTGGAAGCTTGATCTGGAATGAGTTGGCTGATCTCAGCCCCAGCATGACTGACTCCAGCCTTAAGGCAGCATGACTATCCACTACCATTATTTGCTTAATTAGATTAGAACTGGTGACTTGAGGTCTAAAGAGGCCTAGATGTGATCCCCAGCTCCCCTTGGGCCCATTATTTCCCATCATCTCCCCCACCACAGCCTGCAGTGGTTCCTTACCGCAAGTAGCATTGATGAACAAGACATCGAAGAGGGAAAGGTTTGCCATCTCAGAAGGGTGGGCGCATCTTGTATCTGACGCCTGAATAACTTTCACGTTTCTGTCTTCCACCCACCGGGGCAACCAGGAAAGTTTGCAGTCACAAACAAATGGATTCCAACTTAAGTTTCTGTAACGGGGAGATCAGACAAAAGTTAGGCATTAACTTGACATGTGCTAAGAGTTAATTACAGCAGCGTGCAGATCCCTCGCTGTTCCCATCTGCGCCACGCTGCTGAAATGCTTCAGAAAGAACTGCGAGGGGAGGTAATGAATAGGGAATCAAGCAATAATTAACATGATTTTTCTAGAGGCTAGAATTAGGCAAGTACTCCAAGTACTTTTTTCACTCTACAAATAATTGTTGCAATTAGAAGCGAATTACAGAGACAATCTTATATTTAAAACAGTCTGCCATCTAACAGCCACTGGATGTAATGGCAGGCCCTCCCGCTAAGGGAGACTATTTACAGCTCCATTAAAAAATAGCTAAGAGAATAAAACTGATCTGTCAAAAAAGAAATGCAAAGTCAATGATAATCTTTCCATGTGGCAGTTTAATGAAAAGATGGAAACTTTAATTGCAGCTAAGCTTGATCCAAATTACAGCCTTTGGCATTCAGCTGCAAGCAGGACAGGGATGGAAAGCTGTTTGTTTGGCTGATGCCAGCTGGGCTGGGCTGCCGCAGGGGCTGAACCCGGGATTTTTATACTGAAAGCACCACTTTGCCGGCCAGCCTTAGCAGGGGCAGACGCACTTGGATCCTTTGTGTCTATTCAGTGCCGCTTGTAAGCAAAAATGCAGAGCTGGAAATGCCCTTTGTGTCCTGCTACACGGAGAATGCCTGGCTTAGCTTTTTTCTTGCTTGCCAAGGGCGATTGCACAGGGTTAATCCTTTGGCTCATCCAGATACAGAATGGCCATTCTGTGCCGTCACTTCATGCATCCCTCCTGGACATGTGTGGCATCCCCTCGCCGCCCTTCACATGACAGCACAGACTTTGATTACTTCAATGAAAAACCACTATAACCCTAAGAACATGAATCACTTAGGGAGAACATCTTCAGGTGTCTTCAGGTAACTTAGACACCTGAGTCAGGGTCTCGCATGTTGCTGGTCGGAGCCCTTTCCATCAGATCCCCCGGTCCCAAGGTGTGACCATACAAAGAGGAACAGCAAGTGTGACCCCGGAGCACGGCCAGAGACAAGAACCTCAGCAGCACTGGTGTGGGAGAGAAGAAGGGAAGCCAGGAAGGCAGTGTCAGAGGCTGGAGGAATCCAGGAGACAGAAGCAAAGTCTGGGAAGAGGTTATGCCTGAAGGGCACCAACAGGACCCAGGAGCAGGACACAGCTTGAGGACAAAACTGGAGAGAGTCCAAAAGGCAGTTGGGTACATGCCCCAGATCTCCCCAAGACAGCGCTGCATCCCACCCCACCAGGAAGGGAAGAGCTGTTTGAAGGAAAGGTCTAAATAGAGAACTGGGAAACAATGATGATGAACTTACATTTCACTTAAATTAAATAAATTATCAAATATTCCATCTTCTAATGTAGAAATCTTGTTGTGGCTTATATCTCTGTAACAGAGAGAAAATAAAAAGAGAAGTTCATCATACTGGTAACAACTTCCCAGTCAACACACAGGATCAACCTCTGTCCCAAGCTCTGCTAGTAACCCTCTGAGCACCTTTACTCTCAACAGCCACATACGTCTGGTAGCAAAATGTCCAGTCAGGCACTAAGTCATGGAATCACAGCATGGCTGAGGTTGGAAGGGACCTCTGGAAGTCATCTGGTCCAACCCCCCTTCTCCAGCAGGGTCACCTACAGCAGGCTGCCCAGGACCATGTCCAGACTGCTTCTGAGTATCTCCAAGGATGGAAACTCCACAACCTCTCTGGGCTGCCCGCTTCCATGTGAAAGTCCAGTCCCTGTGCTCCAAGCCCTTCCATGAGTCCTCCTTTAACAAGATTTTGAGGTGCAAGGACGGCAGGCTGTCCAGGCTGCCAGCTACTCAGTTGGATCACCAAAGCAGGTTTTGGTGCTGGCTCTATTGCTGCCTTTTTTGATCTGACAGTCCAATTTTTCTTTAAAAACCAGTTGATCTTCTCTATGAACCATCAGCAAGTAACAGTGCAAACTCATCTGATCAACAGCTGAACCAGTGGGTTTGCTAATGGTCAAAGCTCTCCTCTTCTCCTGGCCAGTTTTTGGGAGAGCTCAGGGTGTGGGGAGTGATGGGACACTGGGCCTTTCCCCCAGTAGTGGGGGACTCCTCAAAGGACCCTCAAGCTCAGTACCGGATTCCCTCAGAACATAAGTGGGATTTGGACACCGCAGCTTTATCGCAAATTTCCATGTCTGAATATGCACCAGCAGTGTGCCCAGGTGGCCAAGAGGGCCAACGGCATCCTGGCTTGTATCAGGAATGGTGTGGCCAACAGGAGCAGGGCAGGGATCGTGCCCCTGTCCTGGGCACGGGTGAGGCCACCCCTCGAATGCTGGGTTCAGGGTTGGGTGCCTCACTCCCAGAAGGACATGGAGGGGCTGGAGCATGTCCAGAGAAGGGGTCTGGAGCCCAAGGCTGATGGGGAGTGTCTGGGGGAGCTGGGGGCGCTCAGCCTGGAGAAGAGGAGGCTGAGGGGAGCCCTTATTGCCCTCTACAACTGCCTGACAGGAGAGGGGAGCTGGGGGGGGGTCGGGCTCTGCTCCCAGGGAACAGGCAATGGGACGAGAGGAAACGGCCTCAAGTTGTGCCAGGGCAGGTTTAGGTTGGACATTGGGAAAAATTTCTTCCCCGCAAGGGCTGTCAAGCACTGGAAGGGGCTGCCCAGGGAAGGGGTCGAGTCCCCATCCCTGGGGGTATTTAAAAGCT